GTCTTTCGAAGATAACAATCGTTGAATTTGAGAAAATGACTCCTCGGTAATTTCAAGAAGCTCTGACAAGTGGTCCGTGTCAATGTCTTTACTGGCATTGATCGTATAAACCTCGGCGGTCGCCCTTTGTATTCTCAGGTCACGGGAGATTTCGCCAAAATCTTTACCCTTTGAAAAGTCGTCGAAGGCCCTTAACTTGTTATTAGACAAGTTGTTCTTTCCATACAGCTTCACCAAATGAGATTTCTATGTAGGTAAAAATGGATGGATGTTCAATAACTAAATCGTGATCAAGTAGTGGGGAATAACTATGGTACTGCGTGATACACATCCACAATTTGATTGCAAACAAATTTTACTGAAATAAGTACTTACAGGAGAAGCCCTTTTCTTTGCCGATGGTTTGCGACTAATCTGCGACGTGGCTAGTCTGTTCAATCAGAAATTTGACTGCCCGAGCGGTATCTTTTTGATCGCAGGTCGCTGTCAGACTTCCTACTGCACGCATTGAGCCATAATCTCAATTCTACAGCAAATGGCGCCTAGAATCTTGACGATATTTACATACATAGTTTTTGAAGCCATAATGATTTTGTCTACGAAACAAAATCATATTTTGTTAGACGGCAAGTCGATTAAATTTTTCATTGAAATTCAAATTTTGCGCTTTTAGTTGCTTAGACCAATGAGAATGCCAAATTTAATTTGATTAAAAAAGTCACCCCTTAAAACTAACTGACGCTATTGCCACAAGCTATCATTTTTCTGCCTGCTTCTTAGCTGGACCATTACTTAATATACATGCGCCGTTGCAAACATGTTCTTAACTTAGTATGCAATGTGAACGTGACACAAGTGGGAAAAGTTGATCCACAGCCGATTGGACATGAAATAATGCTTTATGAGCAAAGGGAAGCATTGTGATCATCTAAACGTTCCTTTGCCATGCTAATTCCACAGTTTTTGCACTGGGTCTTCTGCTTGATGCAAGACAAAGCATAAGACGGCATGGCTTCTCTCATATCCACATAATGGAACCCATCATTTTCGCATGCAACTTTCACCCTTAGACAATGGTTTGAATGGTACTCAGCAATGTCATACCTTATTACATGAAATTTTGGCGACACTTTAATTTAGCGATATTAGCGATTTTTCAAAAAATCGCTANCCCTTTGAAAAGTCGTCGAAGGCCCTTAACTTGTTATTAGACAAGTTGTTCTTTCCATACAGCTTCACCAAACGAGATTTCTATGTAGGTAAAAATGGATGGATGTTCAATAACTAAATCATGATAAGTAGTGGGGCATAACTATGGTACTGCGTGATACACATCCACAATTTGATTGCAAACAAATTTTACCGAAATAAGTACTTACAGGAGAAGCCCTTTTCTTTGCCGATGGTTTGCGACTAATCTGCGATGCGACTAGTCTGTGTTTAATCAGAAATTTGACAGCCCAAGGGGTATCTTTTTGATCGCAGGTCGCTGTCGGATGTCCTACTGCACGCATTGAGCCATAATCTCAATTTGACGGCAAATGGTGCATAGAATCTTGACGATATTTACATACATAGTTTTTGAAGCCATAATGATTTTGTTAGACGGCAAGTCAATTAAATTTTTCATTAAAATTCAAATTTTGCGCTTTTAGTTGCTTAGACCAATGAGATTGCCAAATTTATTTTGATTAAAAATTTTAGCACCTTAAAACTAATTGACGCTATTGCCGCAAGCTATCATTTTTCTGCCTGCTTCTTAGCCGGACCATTACTTAATATACATGTGCCATTGCAAACATGTTCTTAACTTAGTATGCAATGTGAACGCGACGTATGTGGGAAAAGTTGATCCACAGCCGATTGGACATGAAATAATGCTTTATGAGCAAAGGGAAGCATTGTGATCATCTAAACGTTCCTTTGCCATGCTAATTCCACAGTTTTTGCACTGGGTCTTCCGCTTGATGCAAGACAAAGCATAAGACGGCATGGCTTCTCTCATATCCACATGACAGAACCCATCATTTTCGCATGCAACTTTCACCCTTAGACAATGGTTTGAATGGTACTCAGCAATGTCATATGTACCACTCCATTGGCACCCAATGTTAGTGCAGATAACATCCAGCCTACGTATCAAGTAGATTAATGTGACACTGATGTAACCACAACATGACAGCTGAAGATTTCTCTTTTGGACTGGATGAAAACAACACAAAGTACATCAAATTCATCAAGAACGTGACCAAAACACGCCAGTCCAGACTATCCACAAAGCCCAGAAGCTTCCTTCCAAAAATGTTTGCTGCAGGACGTGCCAAGTTACATCTCTGGCCAGAATGATCAGCATCAGTCTTTTATGAACATGAACCATTTCCACCAGTGTCAAGTCACTTTCAACATTGGAAGCACAGCAGCTCCTGAAAAGCCACAGTCAGCTGCACTGCATGGCAAGGACGATATTTCTAACTGATCAGCTCAGTTTTCCAAATACTTCAATTATTGAACATGTTGATCTCAATTAGAATCGACTGCAAACATTATCAAGTGAGCCAGTTTTGACGTCTCTTCAGTCCTTTTTCTTTGAGGTTCTTAAATTGAAAATGCTTTGGAATGATAGATGCTCTCAAAATGGAGTGACTGCCATGTGTGTTGAACAAGAGTTTTCCGAAGAAGAGGCCCCTGAAGAAGAGTTGTATGTTGTGTATGATGTTAATGCTATGTCCAAGTCTGAAATTTCTGTGACATTGAAGATTGAGAACAATGATTGTTTAATGCAGTTAGACACTGGGTGTGCTTTGTCTCTTGCACCACT